TACAGCATCTTGAATTGGCATCATCCGCATTCTTGGGCGAGAGCCATTTCAGTTGTCATCATGTATCATAATCCACTTGTTGCAGGCCTTGTCGCCTGTAGGTTGGCAACCAACAGTATGTTGAATTAGCATCATCCGCATTCTTTTGCCCGAGAGTTGCAGAGTTGGCAGCCATTAATCATCATCCATTTGCTGCGGGCCCTGCCGTTTGTAGGTTTGCAACCTACAGTATCTTGAATTAGCATCATCCGCATTCTTTGGCCCGAGAGCTGCGGAGGTCAGGAACCCACAACCACTTCAGTTGTCATCATTGAGCATAATCCACATGCTGCAGGCCTTGCTGCCTGTAGATTGGTAACCTACAGTATCTTGAATTGGCATCATCCGCATTCTTGGGCGAGAGTTGCGGAGGTCAGCAGCCCACAACCACTTCAGCTGTCGTCATTCATCATGATCCCCCTTGTTGAGGGCCTGCATTATGAGGTTTTGTTGCCTGTAAGGCTTGTAGGTTTTTTGGACTGCAGGAACAGGAACCTCAGAATTGGCACTGCACTTCAGCGTGTAGCCTGTGCCCTGCGCAGGCTTAGTGGAGCCCTCTATGGCGGAGCTCGGAGGGCCAGCAGCGGTACGGGTCTTCGGAATCCATCCTGCGACAGGACATGGATAAGTTCAGGACTGAGATTGACCTCCAAATCCATAGGATTCCAATATGTCCGATGGGACTCTTATGGGACCTGTGGATATTTGTGGGACATGGATGACACTCCATCCGAAGACCTGGAGTTTCGTCATACTCCATCCGAGCAGACTCCCCAGACTCTGATTGTTGGGGGCGTCGACCTACCTGTTCTTCACAGGTAAAGGTGAAGTTAATCTAGTCTCTTGATTGATAGAACCCACCAGACCCACCAAATGGGGGAATTGATTCATCAAGGCTATAGAGTCTACACGACTGTCATCCATGACACCCATTTTGGTGTGCCATCTTCATTTTGGGCGTGTTTCAAAACCACATTCTACCCAGGTCACACGTTCGTGTCAACCAAACCGCTAACCGCCATGCACTGCCGTGTTTCAATCGAACAGAGATGGTCCCGGGAGCCCAGGGGAACGGAAGGGGCCACGAGGCCCGCAGCCTCACTGCTGGCATCCTCCTTGTTGCTGTGGAGGCGTTCGTCGACCAGCATCGCGGGAATGTTCCGTTCTGTTCAAAGCACTCAATGCATCTGACCTCCAAGTGGGTTCCATGAAGATACCCTTGGGCAGTCCTGTGAGTTTGCAGATTTCCTGCAAGATGCTGAAGGAGAACACATCCTCCGCCCAACAAATGTCTCATTCTGGACATGCCAGCCTGGACTAGACTGGTTGTAGATCAAAACCCCGCACCCCTAGTTGACCCGTGAAAATGAACAGATTCCTCTATAAGGTATGTCAACCTCCGAGGTTTTGACCAAGAGCCAGTTGACGGGTGTTTTTGCCTTCAAACTGTCGAACAGCATTTGCTGGATGACCTGGAACTGCCTCAAGTGTACAAGAATTTCTTGAAATTCTTTTGGCCCATGTGTGGCATGCATGTCCTCATGTCAGGAAGTTCCCAAATCCTTTCCACAATTCAACACAGGCAAATTGCTTTGTGAGGTGTAAGGGGATGATGAGGAAGAGAATACAAAACACGTGAACTGAACACAAGTTGGGAAGTTCATGTCTTTTTTGCATACCAGCAGTAGAAAACCATAAGCACTACGCACTCAACTTGGGTAAAGCATAGAAGAAAGAGAAACCATTGGAAAACCATTCCACTTGACCTTTGACGATCTTCATGTTCTCGATTCCATCCAGTTCCCAGTTCCCATTTGCCAGTTCGCGGGGCCGGTGGGGCAGATCACAACAGGACGCCTTGCCCTGTTCAGGCGCCAACCAAGGAGGAGGCGATCCAGTTCATCGTCACCTTGGATCAATCGCAGCAGGCCGACACGGCATCGGATCGCTCGGGCCTTGCGTGGCTCGGTCCGGGCAATGGGTCCAAGATCGATCCATCGGACTGCGGGAAGAAGGGGAGGACTGAGACATGAGGACCCCAAACACCACTGGCTTCGTGGCGGTGGATCTTGTGTGGCACTTGATGATGTAAATAAGACCTGAACCAGGCAGAATCGAAGGAAGTCAAAGCTGGGTTCCCTTGCCTTTTAGATTGAACTCTTATCAACCAAAAGGTCTCTCCGCCATGTGCACCGGACGAAAAGCAAAGGTGACACATAGATGTTATGTGGGTTCCCGACTGTGCCCTTTGGTTTCATTGAATATTGAAAAGAACATGAACAAAAACATTGCCAAACTAGTGCTTGAACGGTTTGCTCGATTGTCCCGTCAGTTTTATGTAATCACTTGTGGTGGAGAGTTTCCTACTCATAGAACCAAAGAAGCTAAAAGGAATAGGAATAGGGCCTGTAAATACGTGCACAAACAGATGCCCTTACATGATAACTATATATATATATGTACACGTGTTTTTGTGGTTTTAGCACCAAACATCAAGTAGAAGTCAAATTTGACGCAGTTCGCAGTTTGCCAATATTTTTTCGTTGAGCAAGCCTAATTTCATTGACAATCCATGAGGCAGTGCATAGTTTGGACCATATGTTTGGGCCGTACGAATCTCTTTGCACACCACAACCTGGCACGTGCGTGATATTTTTCCCGATGTGTTCAGCCTCACCTCCTGGCAGGCGGAACTGGCACAGGTCATCCAGCATCTTGTCTGCGCTGTGGACATCGCCAGCTGTGCCACGTGCGTTCTTGACCGGATCAGGGAACCCCATGGATCTGGGTGGTGCAGTGGGAGGATTGAGTGACCCTACGGGTCGGATCTCAAAGGGTTCATCACTTTGACTAGACCAAGAACTCAGATGTGATGAACCAGTGGCCCAACTTGGAGCACTCAACTACGAGCCGATGTCGAATCGGTACTTAGACACTGATCTTTTGGATCGAAAGGATGTCTTCACCAGCCGTGGGAGTTTCTTCAACGCTCCGAATCCGTGCATCTTCCGGTGTGAACATGAGGGCCCATCAGTGAACTGATTTAGTTCCGATTCATCGGAATTGTCCCGCTTATTTCGTCCAGCCTCAAAACTTTTGAACTGTTGGCTCCACTCTCACAGTGGTTGGGAGTTCGCCATCGACTCCCTGTAGAACGACGCGACCAAGAGTTGTGCTTTCAGGACAGGTCTAGGTGTTTTTTCAGGAAAGGTTCCCGGACATGCTGCGTTCTCCGCGTTCCCCGCTCTGATGGATGTTCTTTTTTCACCCCCCAATCCACCCTGCACGCAGAGACCTCAGGCAGCTGATGGATGCTACAGGCACCACGTGAAAGGGTGCAAAGTGAACGGATGGGAGAAGAGATGGGTCATCGGATCGGCAGTTCTTCTGGATCGTTTAGGATTCTTCGTTCAACATATGAACACTTAGATCCAGATGGCATCCAGGCCCCTGGAAAACCCAATAAGACCAACACCTTTTTCGTAGGCGATGGTCTCCTGGTCGGAGGCATCTCCTCCAGAAGGTGCCAATCTCTTTCAGCTCACAACAGGTGCTTCATCCGTCCAGTGAAGGTTGAAACACCAGAAGCTGAAGCTGCGGCCATGGTGGGCCATGGAGTGCATGACCCAGCTCAAGCTGGAGGACCAACAGAGCAAAGGCTATAGGTCTACAAATGTCTACAACAGTGTCTACCACATAGCCTCTCTCCAAGGCGCTGTTTTCTGGGCAGATTTGGAATGAAGTGCCCTGGAACATGGCCGCTCGTGAAAGAGCAGGGTGCAGTCCAATGCCCCATGCGAAGTCAAATGAGGGCATCCCAGAAGCCACTCTCTCCGAAACCACCGGAAATAATCCAGAAACCACCTGGAATCGCGGCCTGAAAGCTGTGCTTTCTCAAATACAACGCGCTTCTTACAAAAAAAAAACGCGCACTTTGGACAGGTGACAAGAAGGATTTGGTCGACGAGAAAGCTGCGGCAAGGCACCTCAGGATCCAGCAGCGTTCATCTGACGAGGTTCTTCTATCCACGGTCGGTTTTTCTTCGAGAGATTTCCACAGTCCGAAAGTGTTTTTCAGAACATCGGGGATCCACAAGGATTTTGTGTTCCAACCCTTGGATGACCACATCGAACACGGAGAAATCCACCCTGGTCACGCTTCGATACCACGAACCCATGCGTTGACCCGCCCCAGCACCGCTCGACCAGCGGTGCGACCCCAAGGATTTGACGCCGCGCATCAGCGTGCGGAACCGCCGCTTCAGCGACGTGCAGAACCTTGGTGCGGTGAGTTGAAACGCGATCAGCGACGTCCACAAGGGTTCATCAAAGGTATATAGGTCTAAAGAGAGATTCTGTCGCTGAAGCCCATTCATCACGCGGCATAAAATGTCTAAGACGTAGTAGACTCTTGATATCTCTTGATATGATAAACCACCCCATATGAATGAAGAGGTGTTTCAATTCACTTGGGGAGGTTATGTACCTCAAGAGTCTACTGTAACCCATCCTTTGTGTCAGCGGATCGGTCCACCGCTTCCACCCATGACGTTCCGGCGAGGAGATCCAGAGTTCTGAGGCGTATCTCGTCCATGAAGCAACTGAAAACGAGAACGCTCCCACCAAAAGGACCAATTTGATCATGTTTCCAGGAGCCTCTAGTAGCGTCCTTGCTCCTGCCAGGAGCCCCTAGTAGCTTCTTGTTACTATAGTAACTAGTAATGCGACAGTAGCGTCCTTGCTCCTGATCCATATCCCAGATGCTCCATGGGACTGCATATTTAATCATATTTAGATGTCTACAAGTCTGCCGCAAAATCATGCCTACATTGACCCCAGGTCAACGACTCCAACTCATCCGGAGTCGCCAGTCCTTCCGGCCCTCGTCTTCGGAGCAACATGTCATACACTGCTCCTGGTTCTCCATGTCCAACCAATACACCGCCTGCTTCCATCCTCAGGATCGCCGGCAACGACCCAAAGGTGGTGGAACCCTTGCAGGCCGAAGCCCATGAGCTCCGACGTACGCTGGATCGTCACACGCAAGACGTCCTGGAGAAACAGCAGGTGCGGAGCGGGACGTCCGCGTGATCCCGTGGCGGGCGGACGGGCCGGATCGATGGTGGAAAGGGGACTGTGTGACGAGATCAGATTGGTTTGACATAACCAGAGATGACCAGTGGAAAGGATGCCGTGGAGTTGAGGAAGGGAAGTCACCTCTTGGTCCGAGCCTTGCATAAGCCTCCAAGGATCAAGCCTTAGAGATCCCCACGGGGGCCACGGCCGCCTCCGGGCCGTACGCCGTGCGCGCGCGCGGACCCCGGACCGCGGACTTGGACCGAGCGGCTGTTCAGGTCCAGCTGTCCATGGCGGACAAGGTTGCTGAAGCCAAGGCCATGGAGTCCGTGGAGACCTGAAATGACCGGACAAGGTGAAGGAACGCCCCTGAGGACTTTCTCAGAACGCCCAAATGGACGCATCCGGACACGTGGAGAGAACCTGACAGAGAGGGGGACAGAGAGGTGGACAGAAAGTTGACTGATGTGTATATAGTTTATTCAATAATATTTATTCATGTTTATTCCATTTTCCGTACAAGTAAACTGAGGGAGTCAGTGAGTCATGGGAAGCTCGACACGAATCTTCATCGGCCCAGCAGGGGATGGTCACACCGCGCGCCATGGATCCCTTAGGAGTGCTTCCGTCAACATCAAGCATGACCCAGACACTCCATGTATGACATGTTTGCCTACATTGACCCCCCAAACCACCTTTAATAGGTACGTCTTAATATCAGTTTAAGAATTAAATATGCCACACATAGAGTGTTGGGGTCATTACCATGTCAAACTCATCGAACATGGTTACTTGGAACAAAGAGCAGTCTTCTAGAGTCTATGTGTGGCGCCAACTAGCGACACATGACTACCGCGACCCATTTTTTGTTGACACATTGTGTTGCTAGTCATGTTGCTTGACACATCCGGTTGAATGGGATGGCATCTGATACGAGCTGAGCTATACTGGTACCGGTAAGAATAGAAGAGGAAAGACATGGAAAGACACATCATCCACTCCCACTCCCAATCCAGGCCCTGCGCAGCGCAGAAGGGCCGAGCTCATTGCTGCCTCAACATGTGAACTGAGAGTAGTACACGTATGGACAAATTGGTATCGATTTGGTCTCTGAGATGTGCGTACCATTGATGACAAACCAAATGGTGCCAATTTGGCCATACCACTGTGGTCACTGCATGACATACCAATGACCACTCGGCATGACACGATGTCCAGTTCTTCGTACCGAGGACGAAATGCGAATGAAACAAGACTCTGAATCGAGCAACCCATGCGAACGCCACGTTGGCTGGGGCTTGTCTATGTGATGATTGCACAGACATGGCTAGAGACATGGCTAGACAGTTGCGAAGTGGTGCCCATTCAAGCAATGATATGATATGCAATAGTTATACATCTACTAGTTTATATAATTTCTGTATACTGTATACTGTCTTTTGCCACACCTACCAAAACTACGCATGTGGTTCACCCCATTTCTCGCATCAGGCGCTGCTGTGTGGCGAAGCGGATCGCTGTGTGGATCTCTTCCAGGTCACGTGGCGTTGAGAACCACGCAGCTGGCGCCGTGGGCACCGTTGGCAGCGGCTTGTTGGGGTGCCGCTTGTTTGGGGCACCGTTTCGGTCTCGGAATGACGGAAACGGAATCTTCAGGTTTGTTTCAATGAATCTGTCAAAAGAATATGTTTGATATTGTTTGATCAGGGAAAGATGTTCATCTTCCAGACCTGAATCCTGGTGTATATAATAAGGGTTTCATTGAACATTCAATCTGAACATATCTGAACATCATTGATTCCATTATTGAAAGATGTCATTTTTGCCGACAATGTTACATATGTTACATCATGTTGTTTGTAAATGTTCCCATTGGTAGTCCCATGCATTGGTATATATAGAAGTCAATTTGAGCCTTTTGAGCTAAGGGTTTCATTGACAAAAGCTCTCCCGGTGACTGATCTCACTTCTTCCTGGATGAGGCCCTCGTTGCACCAAGTGAAACCTTTCTCGACCAATGTTTGCAACCAAATACTGGTGCCCTGAGAAGCCACGAGAACCAATTGACCGAATCAACGTCATCCATCCTGATTGATGTGTGTATAGATAAAATCATTGTATACATGCATGTAACAGACATGAAATCCATGCCTTACCTTGTCAATCATATATTTCATGTATGGATGCGTTCCTTCGGAAACAAGCATGCTCTGGTCCCCCCAATAAGGGCCTTACCATTCATCCTTTCAGGTAACAGATCGCCCCTGACCTTTGACTGAGTGATGTCGATCGTGCTCCGAATCTCACAGATCTCCACCCAAAAAACAGGATCAGTGCGATCGACTTTTGGGTGGACCACCATGTGGATTTGGGTGGAACATTGATAAAGGATATCAAATTCCAAGTGCTTCCACCCTATCCAGAGCGATCTTTCAACCTGAAATGCATCGGAACGCGGTTCCCGCCATGTGACTTCGCACCGCCGGAGGAGTTGGATGCCAAAGAGACGGAGCATCGTTCGCTCTCGCGGGACCTGGTGAGCCTCAAAGAGGACCCGGACACCCGACCCGGACACCCGGACACCCGGTGCTGGGAACGGTGCCGGGAACGGGTGACGTTCTTCGGATCGTGCGGCGAAGAATGGGACGACACGAACGCGCTCTGCACGGTCAAAGATCGAAAGGCCTGAGACTCGCCACTGGAGTGATAATTGTACTACAGGTTTCACAGGTTCACAAGGGCCTCCAAAAGGTATGGTGAGTTTAGTAGTGGACCTGTAAAAGACACTTTGGGGGTTGTGGTTGTGTCATCGAACCTCTGAAACTACTGTAGTATATAAGTTCTGCAGTACTGAGTTAAACTACAGGAGTTGATGATTTATCTCGATTCTGCTGTGCTGAATGTGGGTGTGTATAGGTGTGTATTTTAATAGGGAGACCCCCGAACTCTCGCCCTGGCTGGATAGACTGCTCCCGAACCTTCCAGGTCAAACTAAGAGGTCTCCCTATTTGAATACACCCAATTGTTGGAACATTTTCTTGGTGAATCTTGAGATTTCCCAGAAATGGAGCCCCTCGATGGGCCAGTATGTAGGCGAGTGACCTACTCACAAAGATCCATTGCCTCTCCCAGCTATGATAGCTAAAGCCCATGACCCAGCCATTTCAACGGAATTCCACGCCAGTTCACCGACCTATTTCCGCGTGTGGGACCGTCGGAACGTCGAAGCCAGCGCCATTTGTTTTTTGTTTTTGCCTTGAGACATCAGATCCGGAACATGCAGTGCAGATCCGTCTGCTGTTCTGTTCTGTGTGTGTGTTGCTCCGCTTCACTCGTGCTTGGGAAGCCGGTGCGGGCGGAAGCGGATCCTTTCCTTCAACGAGAGAAATAGTGTTGATCATCCGGATTGACCGAGCGAAGAAAGGTGGGAGGAAGTGAGACTCACTTTCATGTGGTTTCTAAGTGCACCAATGTGGTTTCTAAGTGCACCAAACGTGTGAACAGGCGGTAGAACGCTTCGAAGCAAACAGTTTGCTGCAGGAGATGAGGCATGAAAACGCCATCGCGTCCAACCACTCAGAGGCCGGGTCCATGGTTCCGCAGCAAAGGAATGGAAGGGGCAACTTTGGAGATGTCCATAGATCATCATAGATCTAGATGTGGGTGTGTATTAGAATAGGGAGACCCCCAGTTCGACTCCCTGCAAGAAGGAGCTTAGACCACAACCCATTGGTGGGGGGCAGGCCCCGATTAAAATACAAACCCATGTAATACATGTCCAGTTTTGTTGCAGTTGTCTTTCCAACTCATTAGGGTGGCACGATGTGAACCCCAATGGGAGCAGTTCGGTGACTGTAGGCTTGTTCGGGTTCTTGACCCGGTACTGTAGTCACTCCCCGGGGACTGTCCCAGGGCGGGCTGAGCAAACCATCCTCAGAGATCCCGATCTGAATTTTGTTCAAGGAGTTCAATTAGCTGGTGTCATAGAAAAATTTGTAAAATTGGGGTTTGGGACCAGATTTGAGTTGCTCTGACCCACACCGGCCCAATCAAAATGTGCTCCCTCACCTTCCCTTTCCACGGGCATAGGAGCAAGGACGCTACTAAGGGCTCCTGGCATCGCTACTAGGAGCAAGGACGCTACTATAGGGGGCTGGATGTCAATGCCTTTTATCCTATACAAGACGTCCACAACGTTCGCGACCACCGACCAGCGGCGCAGAACGCCGGAGGCGCTGAAGGAGCTGAGCGCTCAAGTGGAAGAGGAGCGCAGGCGCTGTCGGAGCATTCAGATGCGGCAGATCGATCTGAAGGCGACCGGGCGGCACAGAACATCCGGACCGGTCCTAAGGTCCTGGTGATCAGATGTGAAGTAGTGATCGGGTTCGGTGGGTGGGATGATGATATTTGTATTGTGAACCTTGGAGTCATACATTAATACAAAGGCTCCAATCTCTCCAAGAATGGACGTGGAACAGTGGATGGTCCCTTCGAAGAATACTTTAGACATGTTGTGGTTGTTGGTCTATTTCCATTGATAAGAGCAGCGGTTTGCGTGCATCCTTGAGCCCTTGGCCCCCGCCTTTGGGACAGATTGTTTTAAAGTCTGGAAATCCCTTGACAAGTGTTCCTTGTGCATTTGCAAGCTTATGGTCCTGGAGAAATCGCTGATGATCGCCAACAGAGGTTGAAGGCCCCTCTTGGCTCTGCCGTGGGTACCCCCTTCTCAGGGCATCTTGTTCCAGTAAGACTCAGTAAGACCTTTGCTGGATCAGTTGTTCAAAAGGGTTAGATAAAATGGAACAACATACACTCCCTGAAATCATCAGGTTTCATGGAGTTCACAACCTGCTTGGGGCCATCCACAAGGTCATCCGACATGGGGGGCCATGCACGTAACCATGATGATTTTCAGGTCTTTCCACCTAAACAAAAGGATCTGTGACCCTGTGACCTGGCATGTCTCGACCCACCGCACCAGCAAAACGACCCACGCCACCGAGACCGCACCGGCCGCACCGGCCGCGCGACTCGCGCCACTGAGGCGGAAGTGGATCAAGCGCACCACTCCGTGGCTCGAGTCGAAGCGTCGCAGCTCGGCGCAGCGATTGACGAGACGAGACGCCGCGGAGACGCCGCGGAGACGCCGAGGTGCTGAGAATCCCCAAAGACCACGGGATTGTCCCAGTAGTGAAAGGGGTAAGTATGCATGACTCTAATAAGTACTAAGTAGTAGTGAATATCAAGTAAATATCGTCCGAATAATATAATACTTATCAAGTCTAGTAGTTAATATAATATGTTGTTTGAGTATAGCAGTAGATCCAGGACCTTCAAACTTGACCTTTTGAGATCCCAGAATGAGGTCACTTAGTCCCAAGACAAAAGAGGTCACTGGAAGACTCCGAGGGTCACTTTGAAGGTCCTGGGTGCTGGGTCCTCCTTGGTTCAGATATATTCAGATGCTCTCCCTCAGCTGCAGGAGATGTCCCAAATGAGAATCCCATGGGAGAAGTTAAAAGAAAAACACATGCTCAAAAGGATCTCAAGACAGACACATTACATTTTAGTGGTTTTCCCGTGTCACTCGAACCTTCACCCCCTTTAGAACGTCCTGTCCAGTTTTCCCTGATCCAACCACATCAAAAGATTCCCGACTCACGTTTCCATGCGTTCGTGGATGGCATGAACCTGAAAGGAAGACTATCCTGTCCTTTCCGAACAGGGTGGGCGCATCCACCGACCCATGTGTTCGTGAGAGTGTCGTTAGATTCCCCGTCGCGACCCGTTTTCCCTTTTCCTGACGGATCTCAGCGCAGCGTTCTTGGCGAGCTTGGACAGGTGAAAGGTGGTCACCGGCGATGGACGGGAACTAGTGACCTATACCCGAATGATCCAGAATGTAGGACTGTAGGCCCTAAGGCATCCGCACAGTTGTTGTTGTTTTTTGAAAAGACAAAAACTTAATCAACTTGAAATATAAGTAAGAGAAGATAGAGAAGTCAGATGTTACGACGATCACCTTCGATCATGTGCGTCCGCTGCGTGATTAGCTCCTCGTGCGCTCGTGCGAACCGAGGAGCTGGAAGCGAACCGCACTGCAGGCCAAGTTAACGAGGCACGCGAACGGCTCAAGCGCAGGGTTGACGCTAACGGCCTGAGGGTCGAACAAACAACTGCTCAAGTGTGAAGCGGCAAGTGGCGGGTCAGAGGTCAGGTTTTGTTGTGGTACCCATACTCCATCATACTCCTTGTTTTCCGCAATAGCTCATATTTATGATATTAGTTATACACGCACCCAATCTTATAACTATATAATGTCAATTGTGTGTATTGTGTGTGAATTATATATGACCTGTCCAGTCCTTGTATTTGTTTGGGTCGTGCACCATCCAGACCATGTTGTGTTTTCACCGCTGGTGACAGTGGCCCAAGCGCAACTTGTTGCTCGACCCTTTTTGGCCACCGGACCAAGACGTGAGCATGGCAAGCTCAGATTCTCGTGGCAAGATGGCATTGAAGTACACCAAGACTTGCAGGCGGGATTGAATGGATTGAAGTGTCTAGTCCAAAGCTGACTAAGTCATTTTCCAGAGGCACAGCTTACATTGAAATCATAGGTCTACAGTAGACCTTTGTCCATTGAAAAACTGAGCCAGGAATCTTGTATTTTAGTTTAAACAAATTCTTTGGATTTGCATGAACAAAAAACACAAAATCCCTCAAGTGATGCTGTGTGGCTCTGTATGATGTCTTCACTAGTGTCTTCGCTAAAACCTAAAAGCAAAAAGAACCTGATTTTTGAGCGACTCTGTTCAGAAAAGAAACAATGCGTCCTGCTTCGAGGTTTATATGAACCAGGAGACATTGACAAATGGCCACAAAATGCCACACATGGAAAGGCTGGATCGCATGTATCGTTTAGCCAAGAAGCATCATGTTACCATGGCAAAACGTCTCATGACACAAGTCACAATGCATTTCCGATGGCCCGGTAGAACGACCGGTGACCGGAGGCTGTTCCATTCACGCACCCTGCAGGGTGGCAGGGTGATGGATGTTTCGTATCAGCTGGTGGTTCTTTGATTACACCTGAGAATATCGGTGAGAAGAGTGATAGTTTTTATATGTTTTATATAGACACCCAAATAGATAGAAAAGTAGATCCCAACTAAAAATGTATTGAACTGGTTCTAGTTATCTATTTATCTATCTATCTATCTATCTATATCTATATCTATATCTATATCTATCTATCTATCTATCTATCTATCTATCTATCTATCTATCTAT